TAACTACGTGGAGTGGCCAAAATAATTTCTCCAATAGCAAGGTGCTGGGAGGTGCCCACAACAGTGAATGGAAAAGCTGAATCTGGAGCATGGACTGAAGCCAGTTTCATGGTAGTGATAACGGTTTGTGTCACAACAATAGGGGAAACAGAGTGATAAAAGGGGGAGCTTTTTTCTATAGATTTTCCTTAAATATAAAATTATTCAATCCACAAATTTAGTAGAAAGTTTTGCCTTAACCCAAAGAGGGAGCAGGAAGGGATGGGAAAGACTTCAGCCCAAACTGGACAACAAACAATCTGGTTATACAACCAATACCTGCTGTCCTGGAAGGGAAAAGACAAGCCTGCCTGTTGTTGCAGGTCCCTGATGATTTGTCTAAATGAGGACACCTCATGCTACACCTAAAGGAAGCCACCACTGTTAGCATAATGAGAAATGCTTCAAGAGCAAAAGGTGAACCCAGACATCGGCGCAAATTCAATAAAGTCAATGACCGCACAGGAAAATACCATCAATAAACAGTTATTTTTAGTGAAGTTTTAAAATAGGGGGCTAATCCTAAAATGCATTTTTCCATATATTGGTGGAGGAAATGTTTGGCCACATGAAAATGTATATTTTTATCATGGCTTAAAGACTTAAGAATATTAAATGATAAATTCTACCAGCAGACTCACAGTGGATCTTTTTATGGTTTTACTTCAATTGAGTCCAATACTAACAAATGACTTTTAACATGTGGGTTAAACAATTTCACTTCCAGGCACCAGTCCCATGGAAAAGCTTCAAGAGTGTAAGTATTGGGATGCTCACTCCTTGTGGCCTAGGAAAAAGAAAGAACCACCAAGCAATGTTCCCTAGCCAGAAGCATCTGTGTGCCTCAGACTCACAGTCCTCAAAAGGAATGGGTATGTCTGTGTCACTAAAAGAATGCAAGGAACCCCCAGGACCCTGTCCAAAAGGAGGGGCCAGTAGGCAGGGAACACTGGGCTTCACCCTTGGCTCTGTGTAGCACTTGATGACAAGTAAAAGTAGGAACAGGCAGACTAATCTAGTGAATGAGGGCATACAAGATACCCAATCCTTGCATCTGAGGCACAGCCTATGGGATTTCCTCACAGACAGAGCTTTTGGCCTGCCCAGCATGGAGGACCTGCCTACTGGCATGTCTGGTACAATGTATGAAAAGGCAATAAGCTGCTAGTTTAGAGTTCAGAAAAAAAAAAAAAAAGATAGACAAGGACACAGTTACTTCAGTGGGTGAGTGTGCACATGCATGTGTGAGCTGCATGCGTGTGTGCACATGTGTGAGGCAGTGGTACCACCAAGGCCAAAGGGAGCAAGGGAGAATTCTGAAAAAGCACCAGCTCATAATTTAGAGTATCTGTGGCAGCTGGGCAGAGGTGGCTCTGTTGCCTGGTGCCAAGGCCAGGACAACTTTCCAGAGTCAGAGATCACAGAGATTCCTACACACAAGACTAGCTGATGCAGTGTCTCCCCACAGTCACCACAGCCAGCCCCAATCCCTGCCTTCATAGGTACAGGGACCTGGCAACTGCACAACCCACCTGTATCCAGCTCCACCATCCCTTTGATGTCAAAGCAGAAATGGTATCTGAAAAGGAGTTGATCAAAGAAATAATCATGTTTTCTGAGAAATGAAAAAGAATTCATAAGGACCCAGTAGATCACTACTAGTTCATAGTACTTCCCTTGGGCTGGGCCTGGTGCACTCTCCACGAATAAACTTGGCACATCCTCACAAGCCCTGACAACAGTTCTGTAAACGGTAACTGGCTCTCAGTCAGAACTGAAACTGCACTTAAAGGCATTCAGTGATTTACAATGAAACTCCAAAGAATGGAATTGAAGTAAATTAGTGGCTGGGACGACAGCAAGACAGACTTAGAGTGGACCGAAGAGCTACTGCCCTCTGAAACTCTCACAGAGCCCCCAGGAGCTAAAAGATTCTTACTTGAAAGTAAGGCAAAGGGATCCTGACAACAGACACAAGAGGCTTGGGAAGAAAATGGCACATCTCAGATCTGAACAGCACTGACTACATAAAAACACTGCCGCTCAAAGGAAAGTAGAACCATCACATATGGCACAACAGCACCAGGTGGCCACCTGGCCACCACCAGCTATGGTCTTTGCACAGACTGGGAGAGACAGAGATGCAACCAACTTCAGATCTGCAATACTGTGCGTTGAAATTCCTAAGGCAACTCCCTAGAAAAAAAGAAATACACCATACCTTTATCAAACTAGTGAAGAATTTACTATGAACTGAATTTTAAAAAAAAATTATGCTTAATAAATCAAAGCAAGAATAGAAACATGTAGGACAAATGGAAGCCTAAAAGTGTTAAAAATATATGTATATATTTATCCTATATAAAATAAAGCTATGTAATAGATTCCAATAGAAACCTGTACTTCTTAGATTTGACTTTTAAGGATACAGCTGTATGCTGCTGTGGGTAGATCCCTCTTAAACATAAATGTTGAATAAAATGTAAAGTCAAAAAACAAATGAAAGAAAGAAAAACTCTATCAAATATTTTCTAAAATGAAAAGCAGAGTAGCCATACTATCATACAAAATAAAAGTCAAGAGGTCAGTGGAGGTCATCATCTGGTAGCCACAGCCTGGTGCAGGAATGTTAACTTGTACCCGGGCATAGCCTCACCTCAGAATCCAGAGCAGACATTCCCAGGGACCCAGAGACACAGGGCTAGTGGCTAGCTGGTGAGCACAACCTCCCCTTGCTCAGGTTCTTCTACTCTGTGAGAATGCATGGACACAGGCTGCTAACTCACACAGCAGGACTGAAAACTATCAGTATGCAGTAACACTAAAAAAGAAAGCCGACATACACCCTAAAGAAGTGAACTTCCTCTATTACTAGAAAAGAAGAAGCCTGCATTTTGTTTGACTTTAGAAACTGTTTAGGGACAACCCAGATACCTCTGGCTGATGGGAAAAGCTTATCTTTAACAACAGACCCAGTTACCAAGTGTAGAACACATGATCAAATTCAAATATCACCCTTTTGGACCTGGACAGACATTTCAGTGGTTAAGTGCAGTGAGGCTGCTCTTCCAGAGGACCCAGGTTTAATTCCCAGCACCTACATGGTTTACAACTGTAAGTAACTGTAACTCCAGTTCTGGGAAATCTGATCCCTTCTTCTGACCTCCAACAGCACCAAGAATGCACAAGGTATACTTACATACACACAGGCAAAATGTTCATATAAAAACAACAAAACAAACAAAAAACATTTTTGTCATTTCTATTCAAGTCCCTGGCTCAATAATCAGGGAAGAATAGGACTGATGAGGCTCCAAACAGGCATGGGCATTAAGGACTACCCACAGAATAAGGAGGGGCAAAGCCAGAGCCAGTGGCCTCTGGCAAAGCTCAATGGTTAACCAGCATCTCAAGCACGACAAGTTAGTGCCTGCTGGACTCCACAGAACGCATCTATAAAGGAGGACCTTCAAAATGCCACCCCCTACATCTGATGTAGCCTCCAGCTAGAAAGACCTGCATGCATCCCCACAAGAAGTAGGTTCCTTAAAGTCACTCACTGTAGGAAAGGAACAAGTGTGTGGACTGGGTAGCAAAAGGGGTAGTTTCAAAATACCAGCATTTTCAAAAGTGAGATGGATACAGGATAGGATGTAATGCCCTATGGTGGCTATTTAAAACAAACAAACAAACAAACAAACAAAAAACCTAAAAACATAAAATACCAAATGTCCCAAGGAAAAACTTATTCCTTCACAACTACGTGGGTGCTGGCTGTCCTCACACCTGCCCCCCTAAACCCTCTCAACCAAGAATAGAGAACCCTCCTAGCCCAGATGAGAGTGTCCTGCCAGGACACTGTTTTGTCAGTCCTTCCCCACTCATTAGGGGTGAAGGTCAGCTCCAGAGACAACTGCCCAAGCCTAACTCCAGGCTCCTGGGATGGCGACTCTGAGCCATGGCCTAACCCACTGCTGGACCTACGCAAAGAAGGCTGCCTTTAGAACCCAGTACTGACCAAATGCATACTTTATCTATGTTTGGAAGCCAGCATTCTGTTTATCTTTACAGCTCCACAACCCTGAGCATGACATGAATAGTAGAGAAGCACTACCACACTCTGACAGTTCTACCCTGACAACTAAAAAAGACCTTCGCAAATACTAATGAATCCAGAGGTATATGGGTAGGTCATCCTAAGTGAAGTAGCCATGAAAAGTTGAAAACTGAAAAAGGCATGTACTCTGAGAAATGGCACTCACCAGATGAAGACTCTAGCCATGACCCATGCAGTCCTCCCACACCAAGTCCATACCTTTCTGCTTTCAATGGTTAGGAGCACAGACCTGATGGTGACTGTTCTTCTCTGGCTTACATGAGTCACCATGCATAGCTGTGTCCCTGTGTTCCATACTTGTGCCTCAGTGTCCATCAATTGCTATAATATTGTGTTCACTAACACTATGGCAAAAAGTCCTGTATAGCCCAAGTAAAGACTGAGATATGGATAACTGGTGACAATTTCTTAGAGCCCAGACCCAAGGTTACAAGTCATCAAAAGGGCTCCTAAAAACCACTCAGCTGCCTATGTTTATTTATATGACTACGTGGTCCCTAGAACACTGGGGAAGTAGGAAGATCAAACATCAGGACTCGACTCCACAGATTTTGCTAGTATGAACCTCATCTGACACTCCCAATTACTCATCAGAGTAGGTTATTCCAGTGTTGTACACACAGCACCAGAGTTTCCCTCAGCAACAGGGAATTAATGTCAGACACTGAGCTCACCATCAGATGAATTCAAATGCAGCCAACCACAGAAGTAAGGACACTCTCAGACCACACAGTAAGGAAGGGTCCACTCTGCCTGGCCATCTGTCCACTTGGCAGGGGATATGAAAAGGGCAAAGCACTGGCTCCCTTTCTCTTCTGGCAGCCACTATCAATCTTCTGTAGTTTGCTGAGACACAGTGAGGATGAAGAAGCGTTGCTGAACATAAGGGAACTCCAACTCTGGAAAGCTCCACATCAAGTATGACAGTGGGTCACGAGTTCTGGCTTCAAAGCCCTCCATAAAAGCACCTTGCCTTACCTTAAAGGCATCTAATCAAGCCTGGGGCTTTCTTCAAAATCAGAAAATCAGCCACCTACCCCAAGGAGTTATCTGTTACACACACACACACACAAACACACACCACCACACCTGTCAGCTCTGTCTGGGTGAGAGATCTGGGAAACCAAAGGCTTTGTAGACACACTTAATATTAACTTAAGGGAAAGGACAGTGGGGCCATCAGAACCGTGTTCTACTACACACCGCCACTGTTAGCCAACAACATCCGATCCACACCAGTCTCAGAGCTACTGGGAGGACATCCACACTAGGGGCAGGGGAGACAGGCAGTATCATGGAACCCAAGGCAACCTCTAGGAGACATCACCGTTGGGTCTCTTTTTAGGAGAGAACACTGTCGGGAGTTCTCTGCTCCTTTCTCATTTACAGATGAACAACTGAGGCTTGGAAAGGTAGCCACTAGCTGGGCTCAAGAGGTAGTACCCTAAGAGGAGGAAACTGACACAACTAAGGACTGACTACAAAGTGGCATCTTTTGGGTCTTTTACTATTTCTGAAACCAAGGTGACCAGGACATCACTCCTTCTGGGAAATCAAGGGTGTCCAGCTTCACTCCTCTGAGAGACCATGGGAGCCACGACTCCTCTCAGTTTGGAAATTAATGGGGTCAGGACCACTCTCCATCTGGGGAAGCAGGAGAGTCAGAGCCCATGTACATCTGGGGAAGTAAGGGGTTCGGGGCCCCTTTTCCACCTGGGGAACGAAGGAGAGTCGGAGTCCCTCTCAGTCTGGGGAACCAAGGAGGGTTGAAGCCCTTCTCAGGGATTCAGAGCCCCTCTCCATCTAGGCGCCCCGGGGCTCCAGGGCCCGTGAGCATCCAGCGAACCAGCAAGCTCTGCCTTCTTGCACCCGCGACACCCGCAGGACCAGGGTCGCTACTCCGTATGGGTACCGGAAGGTGGGACCTGCGCAGCTCCGGGATGGCCCAGCAACTCTCGAGGGGCCGCGCAAGGAGCCCCGTGAGGGGCTGAGAAGAGGAGCCCGATCCCAAGCTCCGTTGCCCCAGTCCGGCCCTCGCCCAGAGGACTCACCGGGCCGCGCTGCGTGCTGACGGTGGTCGCCATGGTGCTGCGGCGGCCCTGTGCCTCGCCGACCGCACAGAGACCCGCCGGGAGAGCCCTTCCGCCCCCACCACCTCAACCTGCGTCGCCGACCGTTGTCCCGCGAGGCGATCTGCTCCTCAGTCAGCTGACAGTCGCCCCGCCCCGCCCCACCCCGGCATTCCCAAAGCGCAGGCGCTTCGCGATGGTTGACCCCGCCCCTTCCGGCTGCTCCGCGCACGCGTGCTCCGGGCGCAGGGGCGTGGGGGCGGGTTAAGTCTCCCGAGTACGCCTGCGCGGTGGCTCACTCCCGGAGTAGAGTAACCCCTTAAAATGGCTGCCAGACTGTCTGCGCATGCCTAAGCTTGAGCGCTTCCCGGCGGGCGCCGGTCTGTTCACCCAGGAGCAGGCGCGAGGAACAGGGACGTTTATCTCACTTCTGTCAAATCACCACAGAGTCTGGTCACCTGGCTGGAGATAGCTATGAGACCACCACCTGCAGGTGCCTGGTCCGCTTGAAGGAAGAAGAAAACTGATGTTTGGCAGCTTGGGGAGAAAGCAGATGGCAGTAAAACCAGCTACCCTCAAGCCCTTGAATTACCTCAAAATGCTGTGGGAGGAAGAACATTTATATTTAAATTTTTAAAAAAGAAACCAAGCTGAAAGAGAGGCAAGAGTGGGCTGGAGCACTTCCACCAGTCTTGAATTTGCGAAATGAATGGAAGGGATGGAAGATATGTCCCTAGGAAACCCAGGCCACCCACTCTTGCCGCTTCAGAGCACTCTCCTCAGAAGGACCTTTGGCCAGATAGACTCAGTGTAGTTCCTGTAAGGAGTTTACCCTATGGTGGTCACCAATCTGCAGGTCCCCTTCCATTGTGCTACAGTGGACTTGGTACTGCCACTACTCCTAGTACATTTCTTCACTCACACCATGTTCTCGTGTGTGTGTGTGTGTGTGTGTGTGTGTGTTTTCATCTCTAGGACCACATCTTCTACCTCTGTTACCAGTCTCTGCCTTGATATCACATGGGACTGCATGTAGACTGTCCCTGGGCAGCTGTCTATTCAGTTCTCACTGGTCTCCAGCTCCTGTTGCCAGAAATATCATCTCCATGCTGATGAAGCTAAGATGGACCAGGACACAAGACTCATCACCCAATGTGGCAGACAGAGTTTAAGAGACCCATGATCCCTTCTGTGGTGGTATTGTGTTCCCCAATACATTGTGCATCCTAATAAGCTTATCTGGGGTCAGAGAACAGAACAGCCACTTGACAGACATAGAGGCCAGAAAATGGTGGCACACACACCTTTAATCCTAGCATTCCATAGGCAGACCTCTATCTGGATCTCTGAGTTCAAAGCCACACTGGAAAGAGCTAGGCATGGTGACATACTAATCCCAGGAAGTGATAACAGGAAGCAGAAAGGCATATAAGGCATGAAAACCAGGAACTAGAACTGGTTAAGCTTTTAGGCTTCTGAGCAGCAGTTCAGCTGAGATCCATTCAGATGAGGACACACAGGCTTCCAGTTTGAGGAAACGAGATCAGCTGAGGAATTGGCAAGGTGAGGTTAACTGTGGCTGGTTCTGTTTCTCTGATCTTTCAGTGTTCACCCCAATACCTGGTTCTGGGTTTGTTTTCATTAATAAGACCTTCTAACAATTCATTCTACACCCTTCCTGGTGTACACAACCTTATATAATCCTCTTCCCTTGGTTACAGACAAAACCTGTGATTTGTGTCTAAAAGTGCAACAGAAATCCTGTAAGTGGTGTAAGACTGAATCTGGATAGCAGCCTAGGAACTCCTTGTGACAAAGACCAGCTCTAACTGATTGGGTTTGAGATATTCACACATATGCCCTTAAATGGATCCCAAATCCCTCAACATTAAGGTCAAACAAACAAACAAACAAACAAAAAGCCAAGCAAACAACAAAACCAAGGGGAAATTGTTACTGAGGAAAAACTTTATCCCATAAAATACCCCAGTAAGTCCCCAAAGTCAGTTCAGGTGACATAGTCTGTCAGAGCAAAATCACAGCATTTGCTCTACATTGGCTTAAAGCTCTCTAGTGGTAGTAGTCACAAAACAGAACACAACCTTACTTTTTTCTATTACATTTGCTGTAGATAGCACCAGCTCTGGTGTATGTGGGCTGTGATAGAATTTGCCTAGGTTACTTTGCAGAAACATGGAAACTACCTCTGTTGTAAGTACTAACTCTCCACTCAGTAGAGAGATGTTATGAGTAACAGAACTTATGGTTTCAGAGGGTTAGAGTCCATGATGGTGGAGCAGAAGTAGCAGGTGGCTGAAGCAGCAGCTGAGAGACAAGCAGGAGACATAGAGCACATTAGGAATGGCATCAGTCTTTTGAAAACTCAAAGCCTTCCTCCAGGATCATACCTCCTCCAATAAGGCCACCCCTAATTCTTCTCAAATAGTTACACCAACTGAGGATCAAGTATTCAAACCCAGGCCTATGAGCTTAACCACCACAAGATTCTACTCAATTCTTCATGTAGACACATAGAAACTCTGGGAAATGTGTTGTTGCTGAGCACAGTGGCACACATCGATAATCCTGACAATCAGGAAGCTGAGGCAGGAGGAGGATTGGGAATTTGAGGCCAGCTTGGGCTACAAACCAAGGGGGGTGGGAAGCAGTTATATCCAAGACTGCTATGTCCAGCGCTAACTTAGCCATTGGAGCTGGCATGTCTCTTCTTGCCAACCACAGTGACTCAGTTATCTAAGGTTCCATGGCCTTTTAAGGCTCAGACCAAATTACAAGGCCAGGATGTTTAAGCAAGACACTGATGCTAGCTCTAAACAAAACCAATAACTTCTTGGATTAAGTCAACTAAGTAAACCTCAAGGCCAGAATAATATTTCAGGAGAAGAAAAACATGCCCATAGACAATGAAAAATAACCAAACTTTAGTCTTCTCCAGAAAAATCAATAAAAAGCCTGCTGCTTCCCTAGTTGAGCAGCCTGATCACCTCTTCAGCTGACATTAAGTCCCTCTGCTCATGAGCTGAAGTCTCAGTAAAGCTTTAACTATCTTGTTCATCATATAGGGTTTGGTGCCATTTCTTTTGTTTCCGTACTATAAGAACCAATCATCTAATGACAGGTGGTAGTTATGCAAACATATAAGATTCTCAAAACCCATTCACTTGTGTATTTGTGATCTGTGTGTTTCAATGCATACAAGTTTTACCCCAATAATTTAAAAAGTGACAAAACATCTCCTATGTATTTTACAGGGTTGCTAATCTCACTTTATTTTAAAGCCTGAAAAATTTATAAGAAAAAAAGTAAAAAAAAAAATAATAATAAAGGAAGGAAGAAACTAGTTGAAAGTAACATGATCGTCCCCATATTCACTGTTGTAAAATATTTGCCATGGGCTCATGTGTTTAGACATTTCGTCTCCAGTTGGTGGCCCTGTTTTGAAAGGTTGCTTAACCTTTAGGAGATGGAGGAAGTGGGTCATTGGAGCCAGGCTTTGAGGTTTCTAGGCTGGTCTTACTTCCTGTCCACTCTCTGCTACCAACTGCCTTGCTCTCCTCCTGCCCCAATCTCCCCCAACACAGACTGTACTTTCAAACTGTGAGCTAAAACAAACCCTTCCTATCTTAAGTTTCTTTTTGTTGAGTACATGGTCACAATAATAAGAAAAGTAACTAGCACACAACTTTATAAATTCTTAGGAATAAGGGTTCATCTGGGGAAAAAAAGGAAGGCAAAGAGAGGTACCTGTGTTCAACTGAAGCACCAGCTGCTCCATCAAAAGAAGTACGTTTTGTGAGAACAAACAGAAAGGAGCTTGAGTTGCTGAAGCCCATTCTCTGTGAATTCATGGCTTACTGTATAAAAAGACCTAGACTATAAAGTGTTTTTCTTTAAAGGAAAAAAAAAGGAATTTTAAAGACTCAAATATTCAGGGTACAAGCAGGTGCCAAGTGTCACACTTAAGCATAGTTCAAGATATTTTAATTAAACATTTGTTTACCAGAATGTAAGCAGGGATAAAAAGATGAGGTAGGTGGACATGCCAATCCCTAGCACTTGGGAGGCAGAAGCAAGCTGATATCTGTGAGTTGATGCCAGCCTGGTTTATGTAGTGAGTTCTAAGCCAGCCATTGCTACAGAGTGAGACCCTGTCAAAAGAGGAGGATGGGGGAAGAAAAGAAAAACAAAACCATGAGGCACTAAGAACAAGGTACCTAGGGATAAAAACAGCTCCAGGCACATCTACTTCTACCTGGAGAGCCGACTCAGGAGGTTGCGAACAGACCGAGGAGGAGTTGGACTTTGGGTTGAAAGGTGTATGAGGACCATGCTGAGCTAAAACCCCAGGGACATTCAGGAGTTCATCCATGACAGGGTGGTGAGGCAGATGCTGACCAGTATTAACTGACTCTCCTTTTATATGATCCAAGCATAAGAAATAGATATTATAGTTTATCATCAATATGAGGTGCACTTAGAGTTGATTGGCATTATAGGAGGCACTAACCAGCCCCTTCCTTCCCCTAGCTGGTGCCTGGCATGTCAAGACATTGAAATTTAGAAAGTTTTACTTGACTGAGCCCAGGATCTGAAAGGGAAGGGGTCAGACTCAAGCCCCAAATTTCTCATTGAATGATGCTTTGTGTTCTAGGCCAATGAAATGGGGAATTTGGGAGGGGTGCAAGTTCTAACCTATGGAAGAAGAGGACAGGAATGTCTAGCAATTGAAGGATTTTAAAAACCACTGTCTTGTGACAAATTCACTTGCTGGCAGAGGTTTTTGCTGGCAACCCTTTCTGCAGAACTATATATTAACAACAGCATGGTTTTCACAAGTATCTTGAATTTGTTATTATCTTATTTCCAACATGGTGAGGGGGGTTGCATCCTTTCTTGGTCTAATATGTTCAGTAAGTCTACAGGCTAGGTTTAAAAAAATGTATATGGGTATCTTAGTTAGGGTTTCTATTGCTGCAACAAAACACCATGACCAAAGAGCAAGTTGGGGAGGAAAGGGTTTGTTTGGCTTATGCTTCAGCATTGCTGTTCATCTCTAAAGGAAGTCAGGGAAGGAACTCAAAACAGGGCAGGATCCTGGAAGCAGGAGCTGATGCAGA